TCTCCCTATTTTTCATTATTTTTAAGCGTATACCTTATTTCCTCTCTTCTTTCCCAGACCGTATCTGTTTTCTCCCACAAAACCGAGTTTCCAGACCTGACATCACCCTTTCTTCTCTAACATTTTATTTCCTATTTGGAGCCATTCTATTTCTGATGAGATAAGCAAAGTACAGGTCTATTTGACCACAACTCAGCATTAGGCAGAGATTTGCCTTGTAGAAAGAATGGACTTCCCTAAAACTGGTGGGATCTGGGGTTTCTACGATTAAGTGCTAGGTTTCATATGGACACTAGCTGATCCGGCAATAACAACTGCATCGTAAGAATGATGATCAAAGAGGCTGGCAGACAAATATTCCCTTGGGGTGCAGAGACTTTATTTTTAAAAAATTGTTGTTCCACAGCAGCACACATTCGTGTAGTTTTAGTTAACTTCTATTACATAAATAGATGATTGGTGTGGTTCTTATTTTTTACCTAGGAAGTATTTCCTTTCATAAAAAAAAACACTGGACATAAAAGATGGAGATGTCATAAATATTGTTCAGTTAAGACAGCTGGGTTTTCTAACTTCTATAGACAGTAAGGCATTTTTAGGAGAGAAATCCCATACATCAGTTAAGCTGTACAGTACACAAAATAGAATCTCAAGATTGAAATTAGAAATACAAGTTGTAACTTTAAAAGAAAGTTGAGTGATAAGAGAGTGTTCATTAAGACATTGCATCAGTTGAACCTGATTCTCATTTCCTTTCCAAAGCTTTGAAGATTCTGGGGGCACAGTCTAGCCAGAAATAAAACAATGCTATGAGTTCAATAGAAAAGAATTGAATAATGGCACCTGGAAATACTATTAAACCTAGTACTGAATCTCATGGCTCTCCACAAGGACTCATCGTCATATTGCCTGTGGTTTGGGTATTCCTCCTTTGCTCTGTTCATCTCCTCATATCTCTTGTGGGAAATCAAGCCAAAATCTGGACAAGTTGCACATTTTCCATTCTGGCGTATTACAAAAAATAATAGCACTACTTATACAGCAGATATACCACCGCCTTTTGTAATGCAGCAGCATGTAAAGGAAGACATTGGCAGTGATATTTTTTTTCATGCAGAAATGTGAAAGTTGGCATCGTTTATAATCATGCAGATACAATAAAAAGAATTGTTGCAAAAATTAATTTGAGCAATTGGTGCGGCTAAGATACTACTTTAACTGGGCCTCACAGAATCTTTCTCTGTGCAAGAGAATTTTGTAGCAAAAAAGGCTCAGAGTTTGATGCTGTTCATCTATATCGGGGTGTCAAACTCTAGGCCTGGGGGCGGAATCTGGCCTGTGGTGTGCTTAGATCTGGCTTGCGGGGCCATCCTGGAAACAGTGAAGGTGCCTCTGCCAGCGAAAATGGAGCTCGGGAGGGCTCCTGAGCTCCATTTTTGCTGGCAGAGGGTTGCAGGAGTCTATCACAGCCGAAAAGGAGCTTGGAAGCCCGTTTTCACTGGAAGAGCTCTTGGGCCACCACAGGCACCCCGACATGAGTGACAAACTGGCCACACCCATCTTGCCCCCACAAGGTCAAACACCAGCCTGATACGGTCCTCAATGAAATCAAGTTTGACACCCCTAATCTATATACTAAAATTCTTGTTGTCATGCCTTTTAACTGGACAAAATGGTGCACGAAAGAGCAATAATTTTTTGAACCAAGGTGCTTCAAATAGGCTGATTTACAGAATGTGACCATAATCTGAAACTTCTGACTCCTGAGGGGATGAAATTTGGACAAGTTATGGCTGATTCAGTGTTATTGGCTGCTGCTATTGCTGTCATGTGATCATTTTCAACATTCGGTGACAGTTTCCCAGGCAGTCTTGCAACCACTCTCACTCACTCCCCCACCCAGCAGCTGCCACTTACCTGACTGCTGGAAAGGAAGGGAGGGAGGGAGGGAGGGAGATTTTCAGTGCTCCCTACCAGATTCTCACAAGGAAATTCAAGGGGGAAACTGGCATGAAATCTGAGGTCTCTCCTACAGCCAATGTTTTTTTTTGTCCATTCTGTTTTTCTGTTTAGCTAAGGAAAAGTCTCTAAAACAGTGGCCAAACATTGAACAAGTTGTCTAGTATTCTTTTAAATGTGGAATCATGAAAATAAAATACTGTTAACACCAGCTTTAGAATGAATGAATGAATGGATGGATGGATTTCAATCCTCTGATTTAATGCGGGTAGTCCTTGATTTATGACCACAATTGAGCCAAAATTTCTGTTCCTATGCAGGACAGTTAGTCTTTCCCCATTTTACAATCTTTTTTGCCACAGCTGTTTAAGTGAATTGTTTCACTTAATTGTTTCAATGGCTTCCCCATTGATTTTCCTTGTCAGAAAGTCGCAAAAAGTGATCACATCACCTTGGGACGTTGCAACCGCCATAAACAATGCCAAGCACCCAAATTTTGATCACCTGACCACGAGGATGCTGCAATGCTCATAAGATTGAAAAATGGTTATAAGTCACTTTTTTCAGTGCCATCGTAACTTTGAATGGTCATTAAACAAAAGGTTGTAAATTGAGGACCAGCTGTAATATACATTGTCAAACCGACCATCTCAGATTGTCTTTCAAAATGCAAACACCTTTGAGAGGAGATCATTTCCATTGAAAGAAAGAAGTTGTTGTGGTTAGCTGGCAGCGGGTGTGAATGGCTGAGGAGAGGGAGGACTCAGATGAGGGGCCAGGACCATTAGGGAGTGGACTGCTGCCTTCAGAGATTGTGGGGGTTGGCAGCAGCGATGAGGAGGTTTCCGAGGAGCCTGTGCCAAGTGTGCGTGCACGCAGGGCTGCTCGCAGGAAAGAGCAGCTGCAGCAGCACAGGTGACTCAGGAGTAAGGCTGAAAGGTAATGGCCCCTCCTTCAAGAAGATAAAAGCCAGCTGTAAGTTGATATTTGAAGACTCTTTATGTTGTGAAATATTTCTTATCTGTTATTCTTGGCAGCCTCGCACAGTTTTGGCAAAGCTTATGCTTATCAAAGTTAATTAGTTTGCAGCAGCCTTTTAATTGGGGATTTGTAAGAATCATTCAAAGGTTTCTGTTCCCTTTGGTTTGTGTTTGTTTTATAGGAAAAGGGTTTGGGTCAGAAGTAAAAGACAAAATTCTAACATAATCAAGTATACATTGTACCATCTGTACAATGTATACTTCTTCCAGCCTTACGATTCTATGGTTCTTGGTCATCCATTTCTCCATTATTCAGAATAAAAACTCAAATTTGCTGAAATGGCATTTGTATAGTTTTAAAAGGAGTCTTTAAAAAAATAATCACGTGGGAAATCTGGTTTGAACTGTGGCTGTGATGCCTGCATGAATAGATGGTGATGGTTATGGTAGCCTTTTGTGGTAGTCTTCTAAACGGGGGTGGGGGGGTGCAGGGGGAAACTTCTCCATCTGAGTGATGGGCACCTCTCATCTAATGTGGTCCGTAGATATGCACAGTCAAATATATATTCTCTCAAAAGTATTGAAGGGGAATAAAAATCAGGGCAACAGTGATGAAATTGACGATATCTTACTCATACTTACAGGCTGAAATGTTCCGTTTAATTCTCTGCTTTTTAAAATGGTGAACTTAGAGAAAGTCAACTTACTGCTTTAGGGAGAGAAATTCTACCAATTAGGGAGGAGATTGAAAACATATGAGAATATAGGAAAAATGAGGACAAGAGCATATTTTTCTTTTTCTAGAGTAGGTTTTCTGCCAAGATCCTCCTATAAGTGGCCCCTTTGCCCTTCCACTCCCATCCTTGGAATGACAATGTTTTATGACATAGCATTAATATAAGGGGCCACTGAGGGAGGAAAGAGCAGCCACCAGCCCCATTTCCCAATTCACAGTTTTGCAAAAAAAAAAAGAAGAAGAAGAAGATTCAGAACAGACCTGCTGGCATGATGCTATCAGCTCATCATAGATAGATGGTACGGTTAATGAACACTGAACGGTCTCTCAGAGGAAACACATGTTTGTGTATAATAACTCATGAAAGTTATGGCAATGTCATCTTTGTGAAATAAACCAAGCATTAGCAAGCCAACATTTCACAGGAATGAGTAGTTAAGAGATTCACTAAACACAGTGCCTTTCCTTCCCTCTAGAATCATCATCGTATAAAAAGTGCACCTAGTCTCAAATCAATGAGATGTCAGTACTGAATTGTATTATCCTTCAAAACAGGGATATAATTTTGATATAGCTCTGAGTACCCTTTATACCCATGATGGCAAGCCTATGGTACGTGTGCCACAGGTGGCATGCGGAGCCATTTGTGCCAGCACGCGAGCTGCAAACTTACCTCACTGCGCATGTGAGTGCCTCACAGCTAATTTTCGACCGGTATGAAGCCTTTTTCGGCTTCCCAAAGGCTTGAGGAAGGCTTCCGCAGGCTCCTACAAGCTTTGTAGTCCGAAATCTAGCCCCCTTTCGTCACTTCCTTTTTTTCGGAAAAACAGGAAGTGACTAAATGGGGCTAGATTTCGGCCTACAAAGCTTGTAGCATCCTGCAGAAGCCTTCCTCAAGCCTTTGGGAGGCTGAAAAAGGCCTTGCACCGGCCAAAAATCAGCTGTGAGGCGCAGTGCAGATAAGGGGGTGGCAGGGTGGGTGGGTGGATTGCGCGCGCATGCATAGGGGATGTGGGGGGGTGCACATTGCCTTCTGGGTGCTGGCACGTGAGTGCGAGCGTGCAAGCGCACGCACAATTTTTGGCACAGGAGCCCAAAAAGGTTAGCCACCACTGCTTTATACCAATAGTTTAGAACTTTCTAGTCAGTGACCTGATGATCATTTCTAAAAAGGGGGCAACATTTGTTTGTATAATTGTTTGTGTTTCTTACATAGTATTCTATTACAGATTACAAACATTATTGCACGTTATCTGCTTCTAACAAGCACGGTCATCGTCCCTACGTAGAGGTCAATAAAACAAGGAGAAGCAAAGCCTGAAAACAAGTTTTCCCCACCTATATTAATTTATTCACATTGAAAATAGGCAAAAAGGTTGTTTATAATTAAAAAAAAGTTGGAAGGAGAGTCATGAATTTAACAACAACAACAAAAAGAACAGTTTATAAAAATGGATATTCTATCTTGATGAAGCCAAGAACAATGGAAGTTACAAGCTTTCATGAAAATAGAAATGCCCCACTAAATTATACATAGTACAACCAGGTGAAAAACAAAGTGTCTGATGCACCAGACTCAGGGGAAAGACTTTTAGGTTGGACATTCACTATTTGAGATCCTTTGCCAGCTGTATTCTTAGTGACAAAATGTTCCAATGAGATATTTAAGATACTTATGCATGTACTGTTTTCCAACAGTAGCAATTCAATTGTTTTGCAGATGCTCTGAAAAGGTGGTCCGAGAGACTTCCGCCATGTGGCTACACCACAAATTCTTCTGGGAACGGATCTTCTCCCAAGAGATCTAAAGACAAGCAGTTCATGGACCTCTTTCCATAGAGGGCTGACTTAGTTTTACAATCGGCTGTTGAATACACATATCCATAGTTGGCTAGCTTATCCTCTAAGTCTAAGGCACAACCAAATGTATAACTGTGAGAGGTATCCGAAGACAACGTGGTACTCAGTGGTGGATGTAGACATTTACGCAGACGGACGTCATCTAGACTTTGGCTGTGCTGCTCTGGGGACATTGCTGCTTTGGGTAGGGCAATCTGCCAATTAAAGAAGAGCACATCTTTTTAAACATTCCACATTCAGCCAACAGAACATTAAAAAAAAGTGTGTTGATGCAAGTTGCCCCCATTATCCCTCTCGTCCAATTATTACTAGCATTTCTTTTGTGAAACTTGTCTCAGTGAAAAAGTTATGAGCCAATTATAAGCAATTATGAAGTTACTCAGTGCTCAATTCTAAGCTCCATTCATATCATTCCCACTGATATATACACTAAACTAAGTGTTAAATAATCTGAATTGAAAGAACTAAGAAACAGATTTAACAAATCACATGCATGCAACTTGGTATGAGCACTTAGCTTTATCACTGATTTAATATTATAATTATGTGTGTATTATATAATCTGACTGGAACAAGAAGTGCTGAGATTTAGATGTTCTGCTGGAAATCCAAATAGTTAAAGTTTGAACTGTTTTACAGAAGGGGTCAAATAAATATCAACTGCATGAAAAAGGTATGGGAGACAGAATTCCAAAATATATGAACTTTCATTTCTGCAGGTTATTTATGAAACTGTAGTAAACAGAACTGCTGTGCACAGGAGAGACCAACACAGTTAAGGAAGAAGCTATTCTAATATTTGCTTTTCTCTTCATTCCTTTTGGATTGTATTCACAAGACCAGAGGTGTCAAGGCCCAGGGGCTGGATGTGGCCCTCAGGGTGTTTAGATCTGGCCTGTGAGGCCGCCCTGGAAATAGTGAAGAATAGTGAAGTGCCTCTGCCAGTGAAAATGGAGCTTGTGAGGGCCACACACAGCCCTTCCGAGCTCCATTTTTGCTGCAGGCGGCTGTCCCAGCCAAAAACGAAGCTTGGGAGCCCATTTTTGCTGGCAGAGTGCTCGGGCCACCACAGGTACTCCCCGACACAAGTGATGTCATACTGGCTATGCCCCCCCTGGCCACACCTCCCCCCCACAAGGTCAAACACAACCCTGATGCAGCCCTCAATGAGGCCCTCACACCCCTGCGCTAGACTGTAAGTCTGGGATTATGATGATGTATTTCAGTGTGGATACAAGGTTTTCACAATGATATAAATGTAATAAAGATGACAATGACAAAACTATAAGAAGAAATGGGTCAGATGAAATATCATTTTATATTCTGTTCTAACCACACAGAGCCAGGACATGAAGATATATAGACAGTGGCTTGAACAATGGGCTATGACTGAGAAGACCTCAGTTCAAATCCCTTGTTACCAATGAACTTCATAAGAAGGTTTTTGTTAGTGTAGTCTTACTGAGTTGTTGTAAGACTAAACAAGTTGTCCTTCCTTCCATATACCTGCAAGGCAATGACTGAAGATATTAACACTGAGAAGCCTTCAATCAATATGAGTCCAAGCCCTCAATGGTAATTAACTTATACTTTATGCTCATAAATATCTGGACATGCACCACCAAATTTGAGCACTGTTATAATTCAACTTAAAAGGTACGCAGCGTTGTATTATATTTACAGAAATGTGCTACAAGACCACAATCTTAACTGCATGTTTAACTTTCATTGTATAGTAAAAAGGGATATGTAAGATCACCCCAGGTTAGGCTGTGTCTACACAACTAAACAAATTCAGTGTTACACAGTCATCATTTGATATGTATCACCAGTTTGAAGAGTTTCATAATTTAAAGAAAGTGAACTAAACTACCTAGGATTATTGATTTCAGGGAAATTAATCATTTTTTGCCTTTGTTAAGCTAAATTTGACTTCACTTTCATAACTTTGCTGCTCATGAATGCTAGGAAATGAACTTTGGGAAACATTCTTCACTGAGCATTTTGAGCTCCCCCAGTAAACTGAGAATGAATAGCAAATCCCACAAATATATTCATTTTTTTCAACCATACTTGGAACATACAATAGCAGCATTAATACTGAAGTGCAAAGATGAAAGTATATTTTCATCTCTATCCAGGCCAGGTTATTATTGCTTCACAGGACCCTTCTTTGGAAATTAAATCCAAAAACTAAGACTTTCTATGAATTCTTGGTTTGGGATCATATCCAGTTTCTAGAATATGTTACACTAGATTTTTAGGTGTAGAAATAGATGTGTCACAAATCCAGATTTCCTCCCAAATAAGACTAGTTGATTTCTTTGTCAGATGGTGGCATTTCGAATTTCTACATTTTAGGAGCAACTCTTCTGTAGCTTGGGGATTTTAAAAGTATGATTTCTGGGGCCAGCCAGGAACAACAGGATGAAATGAGGGATGCATAAATGGGCAATATATGAATTTGGGGGAAATACTGAGGGTGAGATTTGGGGTTGGGTATTTTTTTCCCCAAGTAGTTGATGTGAAACATATTTTAATTTAGATGTGCACTGAAAAACAAAAAAAAAAGGAAAAAAAAAAGGATTTCATTTCTCAGCCATCAACCATTGTGGCACAATTTTGTGATGGTGGCATTCTGGTGGACTCACGGTGGAATCAAAGTGCCTGGATAGAGCAAAAGAAAAATGACATGAGATTTCATTTCATTCTTTAATGAACCATGATCTTACCTGATTAAGCGAGTCCGCACTCTGGCCTTTGACCTTTATTACGGTGACATGTACCGCAGATAGAGGATGCTTGTCAATATCTGTGAGGGGCAGAGAGGAAACCAGGATAGTCGGTGACAGTCAAAAATGGAGACAGGTTCTGCAGCTTCCAGAGACATAGTTGGAGCCAGCTCTCAACATACAAATCAATACAATTGTAATCAAAAGACTCAATTCAATGCATGATAAACTCTGGACTGCCAGGATGAGATCCTAAAATTGTTTAAGCAAATCAGCCAGAATGGCAAGAGGAACATCAAAGCAGTATAGACTGTAGATGTCCCATTAAGTGTAAACCTGGTTCAAAGCTTGATTACATCTATGTATGGGCCAACTATGCTTGGTTTTAGTTGGATCTGGAGGCATTGATTTCATAGATACGCCTACATACAGGTTTGTATCTATTTAAAAAAAACTTCAGTCCAAAAGACAAACCTTCCAGTAATATGAATCCCCTTGTTTTAGATTACTTCCTGAAGTAATTAAGGGGTGATAAAATAACTTTAAATGTTTTACCCAAACCTTTCCCCCTCCAATATAATTTACTTCTACTGGACAGTCATAATGGTATGCTGCCCACCAGTTCATACATCCAGTCTTATAGCTATCTAATACACTATGGTACACTAATACTCACAGGTAAATGCATGTAAGTATTTAATAACAATATGTAAAGCAGGTTATAGAGAAAGAAAACATATATATTCAAACTGACTTTAAGTTTCAAAGATTCATAAAAAGTACTGAATGTGCTAATGCTTCATTTAGCAATTTAGGAACTCCACTGTTTAGAGAAACTGATGAAATTACCATTATTCCTTATGAAATCCAGACCATACAAAATGTTGGCCTTGCATCTGTCTTAATCAACAATGGACAAATAAAACTTACCCATATATGTCTTCCTTTACCCTTTACGTACAAACTCTTCCAGTTCAGTGAAAGAGTAGAATTGAAGTGTCTTACATAAAATTAGTCTCAACTGAATAACAGGTAATCCAGCTTGTTTTAGTTAAGAGTTAAGGAATATCAACATTTTACTAACAGGAGGCAACACTCAATCAAGAAGAATCATGCAAATGCCATCCTACCTTGGCACCAAATATCATCTTTTGCCTGAGAATCAACAGATTCCTCATAGAACATTTCTTCAAAATGACATTCATCCGCAGGTAAAGTGTCTGGCTCATCTACAGCCAATTCCACCTCTGGACACAATAGAAGACAGTTAGCAAGAACGCTGCCTTTTTCTAAACCCACCTGCCAACCATTTTTCTACAGTTTCCATCTTGATTTGGAGACACAATGGCTCCTAGTGATTCTGTCCTTTCACAACTTACCATCATCGGGCAAGTCATTTTCGGCTTTATCTTTGCTGCTGCTATCAATTCCAGAGCTACTGTAACTGATGTTGGAACTGCAAGACTGCTCCTTCTGATGGATTGGATCCATCCCAAAGGGTTCGTCCACAGACATCTCCATGGATATGTGTTGTCTTGAGTCAGCCTCAATGCCAGAGGTGTGTGAACTGCCATGGCTGTCAGTAGACTGTCGAGATAGGCGGTTGTTGCTCTCACTTCCTCTGCTGCTCCCACTGTTGTGAGATTGCTTATCGGATGGATCAAAATCTATCTCCAAAGTATCACTGATGTAGGATTCTCGATACCTCTTTTTCTCTGGAAGAGTGGAGTGGGAGATAAAGAAAAGTGTGAAAAAGAAATAAATAAACTGAATTTTATATCACGATTAAAGTTAAATTAATACAAAAAAATTACAGCCACACAATACCAAAAATGTTACAGGAAAAGGAGAAATAAAACCTAGCAACAAAGAACTAATTTATTTTTTAAAAAGGCAATATCCCATATAATTATCATATATAGCATTTGTCGCGGTGGCACAGTGGTTAGAGTACAATACTGCAGGCTACTTCTGCTGACTGCCAGCTGCCTGCAATTTGGCAGTTTGAATCTCATCAGGCTCAAGGTTGACTCAGCCTTCCATCCTTCTGAAGTGGGTAAAATGAGGACCCAAATTGTTGGGGGCAATAAGCTGACTCTGTAAACCACTTAGAGAGGGCGGTAAAAAGCACTGTGAAGTGGTATATAAATCTAAGTGCTATTGCTGTTTGTGATATGCTTCAACCATAGTATGATTGAGTTATGATTCAACCATACTTCTTTTGCATAAGAATTATTCCATGTGTTGAAATTAATAAAAATGGATACCTTTAGAGAGGAAAAATGGAAACAGTATGAATTCCTACTAACATGCAATATTTATTCTGAATATAATATGTGATTTTTTTTGGTGTGCTAGTTTTATGTTGTTTTGCAGTTGTTTAATGTCCACTGAATGTATTATAGCCCTAAGCTGGACCACAAACATGTTTTGACGCCATCTACTTTCAATAGGATCTGCCTATCCAGTAAAATTGGAGCTCATTGGGTCCCATCTCTCAGAGAAGTCATCCATAGGAACAATGGAGGCAGACTTATACACCCTCCCATATGAAAATGAGGCTGTCCCTATTTATAGCAGGATATCTGTGTAATGTAGAATTTATGTTCCTCAGACTAGAAAGGGAAATTCTATTTTATTGGGGGGAATTATTCATTGCTGTCATCTGTTTTATGGATGTTGAGTATGTAAGCAGCTCAGCATTTGCAATAATTGAAAGGCCCATTAGCTCAGTTAAATAAAATAAATAGATAAATAAAGAATAAAATGCAAAACTGGGTCGGAAAAACTTTCTCTTCTTTCATCTCACCATCTGTCTTTTTTTGACTCCAAACAAGTAAACCAGAAAATGTAATAATGATTAGCAATGGTTAGTGGGTTGGTTGAAAATGTGAATATTTATTTGGTAAGCCAAATACTCTATTTGAGCCAATTGAGGCAAGCAATATAAATGAGTGACAATGTTAAGACACCTGCCAAAGTTTGTATTCTATCAATTGACTTTCAATCAACCCCCTAACCATTGCTAATCATTATTACATTTTCTGGTTTACTTGTTTGGA